TGGAGGAGGAGGAGGAGAATAGAGACCAGAAACTGTGTAACAGCGATGCTCTGCTCTCCTGGAGATCCGCTTGCGTTCTGTTGGAAGAATCTGCGATGGAGGAGGAGATGCGATATCTTCCCCGCCAGCTCCACGGGCTCCCAGTCCAGCTGGAGGAGCGAGGCGAGGAGCTGCACCTCGCAGAGTGAGGGAGCAGAAGAAGCAGAGAAGCAGCGGTCTTGAGGGAGAGACCAAAGAGGAGGAGTGAGGAGGAAGTGGAGCAGATGATGATGATGATGATGATGATGATGATGATGATGATGGTGATGGTGATGATGATGATGATGATGATGATGATGATGATGCCGACGACAACGACGACGATGGTATGATGGTCATGACGATGATGATGGTCATGAATAGAGGAGGAGGAGTATCTCACTCGCAAGGCTCGCTTGAATTCGATGAAGCTCATCTCGTTTGCGTCTGTATTCTCCTCCTTGGACGACGAGATCGCCTTGCGAAAGAGAGATGTCGCCTCCTCTGCTCGAGCTGTCATGGCGAGCGAGGCAAAAAGATGCAAGAAAAAGTGAAAGAGGATAAAGAGTAGCAAGAGAATCCGGTTTGGGGGGGGGGGGAGAGGAGTGTGGAGGAGGAAGATTTGGAGGAGGAGGAGGAGGAGGAGAACCTTTGGTCAGGCGAGCAGGAAGAAGCTTTAGCACGCGAAGGAAGTGGAACCACTCGGAAAGGTCCATGCTGACCGCGCGATAGTCGAGACTCTACGAGGAGGGTCAAGGAATTGACAAGAACGACAAGGAGGGAGAAGAAGAGCAGGTGGTTGAGAACGATAGTTGGTAGGAGCGTTGATGAGGACAAGGACAAGGAGAAGATGAAGACAGCAATGGAAGGAGGAGGAGGAGGAGATGCTGCTGCTGCAGATGCTGCTGCTGCTGCTGCTGCTGCTGCTGCTGCTGCTGCTGCTGATGATGATGATGATGATGATGATGATGATGATGAGCGGTGAAACATGGCAGCACCTTGATTACGTTCTTGCGAACGTCATCCTGCAGGTTGGCGAAGCGAAGGAAGGAGAAGGAGTCTAGCGAGACTGCCTGGAGGACCTCGACGTACCAGCGACTCTCAGGGTCTCCCGGCACGAAGGTCCGGACATGCTCGTGCTCAGAAGGGACGGAGAGGACGGCAGTACCCCAGTGAAGCTGCAGCCTCCCGCGGTCTGAGAGCTTGAAGTGCGCGAGGAGAGAGACGAGGGTCGGAGACTCTCCTCCTGACTCGAAACGTCAGCCTAGGTGGAGGAGGAGTTGGAGAAGATGGAAGAGGAGGAGGAGGGGAAGGAGGAGGAGGAGGGGAAGGAGGAGGGGAAGGAAGAGGAGGAGGAGGAGTTGGAGCTCACGGGCAGTCAAGGAGTTTGCGATCAGCTCGTTTACAGCTTTCGAAGCTGCGAGGACCTGAAGGACATGAGGGGCAAACAGGAGCGGAAGACAGGAAGGGATGATGATGATGATGATGATGATGATGATGATGATGATGATGATGATGATGATGATGATGATGATGATGATGATGATGATGATGGGAGGAGGAGGAAGAGGAGGAGGAGGAGGTGGTGGTGGAGGAGGAGGAGGAGGGAGAGGGAGAGGAGGTGAGGACCTTGTCTCGTTCGTGCATGGAAATGACGCAGCCCTTGCCGTAAGCGAGGAAGTCAGTTCCTCCAATCTGCGGGATCCTCTCCTGCTCCTTGTTTCTTGTCGCAGCTCTCAGGTCAGCGAAGAGACTCGCGCGGCTGTCCATCATGCTGGGAGAAGAAACCCCTCGCTGCTGCTCGTCGAGACTGTCTGACGCCCTCCGCAAGTCCTTGAGGATGTTGGCGCGCTGAGTGTGAGAGTCGACGAACTCGTAGTTGAGGTGGATGATGCTTGAGATTCGCTTCTCCCGCATCCTCCCGTCCTTCCCCTTCACTTTGGAGCAAAAGTGCGACAGAGCTGCAAGCTCCGACTCGCATCGGATGATGATGGTGTTGGACGTCTTGCTCCATTGGCACTCGAGGACCCCCTGGCCGACCAGCCGCGGGTCAGGAGGAGGGTTCTTGACCCAAGGCAGCAGCTCCCGCAGCTCTCCGCTCACATACTGCTGGATGATGCCGGTGAAGTGGGTGGTGAACGCCTGCTACACGTCAGCTCCACCTCCTCCGCAGCCTGCGCCTACCGCCTTGACGAGCTTGCTAAAGGCAAACTCCTCCAGGTTCCTCCTTTGAGTCGTGAAGATGCCGTCGTTCCCTTCCTGAGTCACCAGCAGGATGGCGACATACTGGCCAGGGTGACTGTGGAGAGGTAAGGGAGAAGGGAGGACGAAGGCGAGGAGGAGGCTGACCTCAACTTCAAGAACTCGTCGATCACGTTCTTTTTGGTCAGGTTTGCCTTCCTCTTCTTCTTGATCTCACCATTCTGACTGAAGTACCAGCTCTGCAGGTGCCCGCCCTTGAAGATGACGGTGTGCGGGATGCTTAGGGAGACGCTGCTTGTGCCATGCAAGGTTTGAGCCTCCAAGGGCGCGTCGTGGGCGTCGGAGGGAGAGAGGTCGGCGAGAGAGGGCTGGTCGAGACCTGACTCGATGCTCCTCCTCCCTCCTCTCGCCCTCCTCTCTCGGCTCCTCCTCCTCGACCCCTCCCACAGCAGCTCCAGGAGTTCCTCCCACTGTATGTACATGGCGCTGTCCGTTAACAAATGTACTAGGGGTGGGGTGATACCCCCCACCCTCATGCTAGACAGAAATCGATCTGTAATAGCTACTGAAGGGGTGGTGAGGTCATGGGGTAGGGTGGAGAGAACGAGCGATCACTTTGACAAGTTGCGAAAATGAGCAAATCGAACGTGGCGTTCGACACGCTCATGAGGTGAGAGAGGAGGAGGAGGAGAGGAGAAGGAGAGGAGAAGGAGAGGAGAAGGAGAGGAGAAGGAGAAGGAGAGAAGGAGAGGAGAAGGAGGAGGAGGAGGAGAAGGAGGAGGAGGAGGAGGAGGAGAGGATGAGAGGGAGAGGGAGAGGATGAGAGGAGGTGGTGGGAAGCAGCGGAGCCGAGGAAGGGCGGGGGGAGGGCGGCTGCTGACCCCGTGAACTGCAGGGCTCGTGAGGAGGCTCGTAGAGCTGAATCCGAGCAGCGCATCGCAGCTCGAGAGCTCCGCATAAAGTTGCAGGCGGAGAGCGAGAGGAAGATGAAGGAGTCGCTGGAACGAGATCAAACGATCCTGACCAGGAGGACGCAGGCACACATAGAGAAGGAGCGAGAAGATAACCAGAGGTAAGCCTTCGCCCCTTGTGCCGCTCTAACTCGCCGGCCGTCGCAGAATCGTCGAGAGGCTCACCAACCGATATGCCCGCGTGATGAAGCAAGACCCGCGAGGAGCAGGAGAGATTCGCGTCAGCCGGAGAGAGGAGAGCAAGGAGAGCATGCAGGAGACGGATCGAGTGAAGAGGATGATAGAGAAGCGACTTCAACCTGCTGTCGAGAAGAAGTCCAACGCACAGCTCGCGGCAGAATACAGAAAGAGAGCAGAAGCCAAGGCAAAGCTCAGGAAGGAGGAGGAGGAGGCGGCGAGGGCGGCGGAGGAGGAAGCGTTTCTTGACAGGATAAGGAATTTTGAGCTCTTTCCCGCTCCCTCCCACAGGCCGAGATCTCGCAGCCCTTCCAGCCGAACACCAGCGACCTTACAAGGTGAGACAGCGGGGAGGAGGAGGAGGAGGAGAGAGGGGAGAGGAGAGAGGGGAGAGGATTTCTCAGGTTGTCTCAGGTGGGCAGAGTGCCAAGAGCTCACAGTCGGCGAGGTCAGTGACCAATGTATCGGAGACGGTGAGAACATCTGAGAGGGGAAGGGAAGGGAAGGGAGGAGGAGGAGGAGGAGGAGGGATGGGAGGAGAAGCAGCAGCAGCACGAGGGTTCGGGTACATTTCTGACACGATGAGGCAGGAGAGTGAAGCCGCTGAGCGACAGCAACACGAGCATGACGTCTGGCAGTTCTCTCATACGGTAACAACGTTCAACACCAACCCCCTACACACCCTTGTCTCCTCCTGCTCCTGCTCCTGCTCCTGCTCCTGCTCCTGCTCCTGCTCCTCCTTCATCTCTTCCTTCTCCCTCTCCTTTCTTGCGACTTCTTTCTCTCTGACGCTCGGTCTAAGGTGAGGGAAGCCATGATCAACGCCAAGCTTCCCGTGCTGAACCTGCGCGGCATGCTGTGGGCGGGCGACTCTTTCATCGGCCGCGCGTACAAGAACCTGGACCGCATCCAGATGAATTGCCCGCTCATGATGGACGCCTCCTCCGCCCTGTTCCTCCTCGCCGACGGCCATCACTCCATACGTGCATGTGAACACGTGTGTAATCAGGTGAGAGGAGGACGAGGAGGACGAGGAGGACAAACTGGTGCTGGTGGTTGTGAGTTGAAGACGAGGAGCAGATGGCGGCGTGCATCGGCAAGAGGACAACAAGAATAGGGAAGAACATCAGCAAGGAGACGGTGGAGGCGCTCAAGCAGGGAATTCTGGACTGCGATGACATGTATACGAAAGACCCGACCTCCCCAAGTACGACAAGGTCGGCAGCGGCTGCGCCGTCCTCCTCCTCTTCCTCCGACTAGGGACACTTTACTGCGCCAACCTCGGAAGCAACAGAGCTGTTCTGTGCTCTGGAACTGACGCTGAAGTAAGGAAGTCCAACCGCCTCAACCTCCGTCCTCCTCTTTCATCTCCTCCTGCTCCTCCTGCTCCTGCTCCTCCTGCTCCTGCTCCTGCTCCTGCTCCTCCTGCTCCTCCTCCTCCATCTTCGCCTTCTCCACCTTCTCCTGGCATCTCGTCCTCGTGCAGTCTTGTGTCTTTCCTCTCGCTCAGCCTCTTCTCTCAGGATCTCTCGAGGGACCACGTGGTCTGGAACCCGCTAGAGAAGAAGAGGATCAGCTACACCCGAGCTGAAATCCGCGACAACCAGCTGACCTTCTTCGACGAGGAGACAAGAAAAGAATTCACAGCTCCAGTCACCCGAGGGTGACGAGCAACCTGCTCCTGCTCCTCCTGCTCCTCCTGCTCCTCCTCGTCCTCCTCTTTCTCCATCTCTTTCTTCTCCTTCTCCCTGTGCTTGTCCTCCTCCCTCTCTTCTCCTCTCCTCCTTCTTTTCCTCCTCCTCCTCCTCCCCTCCATGTGCTCATCCTTCGCCTCTTGCTTGCCCTCTCTTCGTCATGCTGCTGCTCACACTCTGACATGCTGCTGCAGCATTGGGTTCGCGCGACTGAAACAATCGGGGGGATGACGAATCGTCCGGAGATCAGCGAGCACGAGCTGACACGCAAAGATCGCTTCCTCGTCGTTGCATCGCGCGGCCTCTGGTCAGTCATGAGCAGTCAGGAGGTTGTGGATCAAGTGAGGGAGATGCTCATTGAGGTGACGCCTCCTCCTCCAGCTTCAGCCTCTCCTCCTCCTCCAGTTTCAGCCTCTCCTCCTCCTCCTCCTACTACTACTACTACTACTACTACTACTACTACTACTACTACTTCTATTCCTCCTACTACTCATACTACTACTCCTACTCTCACTCTTACTCCTCCTCCTCCTCCTACACTCCTCCTAATCCTCCTCCTCCTTCTACTTGTCCTACTCATACTCATTCTCTCACTCACTACTACTCCTCCTCCTCCCCTACCTCCTCCTTCCTCCTCCTACTCCTCCTCCTCCTCCTCCTCCTCCTCCTCCTCCTCCTCCTCCTCCTCCTCCTACTTCTCCTCCTGCTTGTTCCTGTTCTCTTCGGTTCTACTCCTGCCGTCCCTTCACTTCTCTTCGTTGCCTCCTTTGACTTTCTCCTGCAGTGGCCGAGCCGCGTGGACTCGACAGCCTGCAAGGCCGTCTGCTCGATGCTGTGCGAGCTCGCCATGGAAAAGGCTCGGAGGAGAACATCAGCATAATCCTTGTGCGAACCTCCTGCTGCTCCTGCTCTTCCTCTTGTAGCTATTGCTTCCTCTCCTTACCTCCCCTTCAGATTATCTTTGACGACGTGGCTGAGCTCGGCCTTCGCGATCTCTACGAGAAGAAGGCCAAGACTGCGAGCTACTCGCAGAAGCTGAAGGTCTCGGACAACCTGCTCCTACCCTCTTCCTGCCAGTCTCTCTTCCCCACCACGTCTTCCTCTCTCTTCTCCATCCCTCTCCCTTGGTCTCGGCATGCCTTGTCGCTGGTTCATCCTGTCCTCATCCTCACGCTCTTGCAGGACATCAACCTCCGCCGCGGGGATCTCACTCCTTCCCACCACCACGAGCAAGGGATCGACGCTCTCGACTGACCTCCGACCTCCCATGTCCCTGCTCTCTCTCTCTCCCATGTCCCTGCTCTCTCGCTCTTTCCTGTTGCATCTCCTCTGTTTCTACGCTCCTCCTTCCTCTCTCCTCTGTTTCCTCTCTCTACCCTTCTCTCGCTGTCTGACACTCGTTGCGCATGTCGATAAAGTATTCGAGCGAGCAACAGGGAGAAGATGATGAAAGCGAGGGGCACAATCACCATCACCAGCACCAGCACCATCACCAGCACCAGCACCATCACCAGCACTAGCACCAGCACCAGCACCAGCACCATCACCAGCACCAGCACCAGCACCAGCATCAGCACCAGCACCAGCACCAGCACCAGCACCAGCACCAGCACAAGCACAAGCACAAGCACCAGCACCATCACCAGCACCAGCACCATCACCAGCACTAGCACCAGCACCAGCACCAGCATCATCACCAGCACCAGCACCAGCACCAGCACCAGCACCAGCACCAGCACAAGCACAGGCACCAGCACCATCATCAGCATCATCACAAGCACCAGCACCAGCACCAGCACCAGCACCAGCACCAGCACAAGCACTAGCACCAGCACTACTAGGCTAGCACAAGCGTTGTTACTACAAGTAACAACAGTTTGAGGGGGGCCTGCTTTAGCAAGGGACTCGAGAAATGCAGACTTGGGTAGGGGCGCGGGGGAAGGGAGAGGAGGGGGCGAGGGCGAGGGGGGAGGGGGGAAGGGAGGAGGTGATGGGGACAGTGGGAGGTCTCAGTTGGCTGCTCCTCGCTAGTCTGATCGCCTGGTTCGTCGCTGTTGAACGACCGAAGCTGGAGGGGCTGCAGGAGGTGAGACGACTGGCGGTGGAGATGCAGGGGAAGGTCCATGATCTCTCTGAGGAGGTGAGAAGAGAGAGGAGGGAAGAGGGAGGCAGCTTGCATCAGATGCTGAACATCTTCAGGTTCAGAAGCTGAGAGGGGAAGCGACAGGTCGAGACGTAGCCATCCGCGAGCTGCATGAGAAGCTGGAGAGGCGGGTGAGCCGCTGGCAGGAGGGGGTGGAGGAGAAGCTTGCTTCCTCCAAGCTCATCGTCCAAGACTTACAACGGCAGCTGGAGAGCGACAAGGCTGGAGGAGGAGAGAGGGAAGCCTCCCTGCGAGCGGCACTGGGGAGGCTGGAGGAGCATGTGCGGCAAGTCACAAGAGCATTCGAGGAGCTGCGGGAGGACGTGAAGAGCTCGGAGAGGCTTGACGAGGCCTTCGCTCGCTTGCAGCAGTCTCAAGGCGCCGCGCAAGGGGAGGAGAGAGGACAGCAGGACATGCAGGAAGCAACGGGAGGACGAAGGCGGGGACAAGAAGCGACAGGAGGTCTGGTGGAGGTGCGGGCAGGAGACTGGGAGAGGATGAAGAAGGAGGGCGACACCTGGGTCGTCATGTTCTACTCGCCCTGGTGCGAGCGGTGCGCAAGCATCGCCCCCTCCTTCCAGCAGGCTGCCCTGCAGGCTCCCGTCCACTTCGCGCGCATCGATGCAGCTGAGCATCCGGAGGTGGCAGAGGAGGAGGAGGTGCGAGAGTTTCCAACCATCCGCAAGTGGGCGAGAGGACGAGTGATCGACGTGCTCGAGGAGGAGGCGAATGTGCGAAACCTGGTCGCCTTCGCCAAGAAGGAGAAGTGAGGAGGAGAAATGCGAGTAGACGTGAAGGGAGGTAAGCGAAGAGGGCGAGGGACGATGGAGATGTCATGCTTGAGCTTTAATCGAGTTATGCGTGTTGGGGGTTGGGTTGGATCGAGATCCACTGGTTGTTCTGGTTGATCTTGAACGGCTGCCAGCCCGTCAGTCTCTCCACTCCCTCTCCCTCTACCCTCCCCCCCCCCCCTCCCCCTCCCCTCTACCTGCACAGCCACCGTCCGCTTGTCCGCCGCTAAGATCGTCCAGTATTCATTTGCTGCTCGCGTGTCAGGCTCGAGCGCTAGATAGAAACCAGGGGAAGGGTATGCGTAAGAGAGGGAGATGAGGAGGGTCAAGGAGGAGAGGAAAGAGGCAGTGGCAGAGGAGGAGGTGGAGAAGGAATCGAGGAGCATGAGGGGAGGGGCAGGAGCAGGAGGAGAGAGAGCTAGAGGTACCGAAGGCCTGCTGGCGGGTCACGCCGTTGGGCTTGATCTCGTTGTAAACGTGCATGACGCCGTCGGAGCTCTGAAACCCGAAGAACAATTTGTCGGGGGTCTTGTTGTCCGCGAAGATCCACACGATGGGGTAGCCCTTGGCGGAGGCCTTGGACGGCAGGAACTGCTTGTCGTTGTACACGTACGGGATGTTACCGACTGCCCCGGGAAGAGCTGCAGGAGGGTCAGGCCTGCGAGGCAGCAGCTTCTAGAGCACCGGCTGGGTTCGCGGGAGGAGCATCTTGCACGGAGCCAGACTGCGCGCCGGCCTGGGACTCAGTCACAAGAGGCGCGACATCACACGGGGAGAACCTGCTGCAGCTGAGGCTGAGAGGCGAAGGCAGGAGGAGCCTGCGGCAGAGCTGCGGAGGTCTCAGTGAGAGAAACAGATAGCAAAGCCTCACTTCCTGCCGACTGTTGCTGCGCTGGCTGGTAGGAGAACTGCGCCGTGCTCAGCTGCCCTTGGACAGGCTACCAGGAACAAGTCAAGGAGGGGAAGGCCGGTAGTGGGAGAGGTGAAGGCACCTGGGGTGGAGGCTGCCAGGCGAACTGCTGCTGAGAGTTTGCCGGGTAAGACGCTTGAGCAGGTTGCACGTTCAGCCCCGGCTGGGTCTGAGGCACATAGGAGAACATGGCTCCTGACTGCTGAAGGGCAACAGGCCCTCCTCCCCACCCGGCGTCCGACCCCTCGTCCATGAGCATCAACGACTGAGGAGAAGACCGGAGTCCGCCTGAGAGCGCTATGCTCTTACGCTTCACCCGCTCCTTGGCCGCATTGAGGTCACGGTCACGCTGCACGAGGGACTTCTTGTCGGACTGCCGGAGGTTCTGCCAGGTGTGAAGGTTGGAGGCGATCTTTGACAGCGTCGCTTCCACTTGGTGGTGGTCGGTCTTGCTGTCGTCCAGCAGCTCCTCAAGCGAGTCGTACTTCTTGTGCGCAGCTTTGAGGGCTGCCACGTCACGGAGAAGGTTCGCGCGAGCATTGAGCTCCTGTCCCTTGGCGAATCGCTCTCTCGCCAGCAGAAGGTCGTTGTGCATCCTCGCCTTGTCCTTGTGCATCTCTCGCTTCGTTGCCGCCACCCGCTTACGGAAGAGTCGAGCCTTCGCCGCGAGCTGCTCCACTGTCTTCTTGTCTTCCTCCTCCTGCGCGCGAGCTCCTCTAGCAATTGCCTTGCGGGTATGCAGGCGTGCTTGTGCGTCACGCAAGACAGAGAGGTCGCCAGCTTTAGCAGCGTTGGTGACGTCATGCCTGGCCTCCAGTACTTTGGTCTCTCTGTCGTGAAGAGCAAGGATACTGTCGCGCTCGACGTGCCTCGCCTCTCGCAACTTCCTCTCTTCACTTCTCGCTAGGTGATGATCCTTCCGCAGCTGCTTGGACAGCTTCGCCATCGCTTGCTGTAGGTCATGGACCTGATGGAAGCAAAGATCAGACGCCTTCTAGCACAGACAACAAGCCAAAAAGCACTCCATGGAGAACGTTACCAGGCATGGAGGATGAATGCAGAGAGGAGGAAAGGAGAAATGAGGGGAGGGCGACAGGAGGGGAAGAGAAAGGACCAAGAGGAGTGGTGGAAAGAATGAATGCAAACATACTATGATAATACTGTGACAACCCAAACATCACCAACCTGATCTTTGATCTCCCGCGATTTTTTGATCGCCTCGTTTGCGAGCATATTCTCTGCATCAACTTTGGAGCCACTTGAAATCATGAGCTTCTTTGTTTCTACATCCTTAAGCTTCTTCGCGCTGCTCGCCTGCTTGTCTGCTGCTGCCGCCAACTGTGACAGCTCACGGAGACTGCTGGCGTCTTTCTGTGCAATGGTTCGCTCGAGCAGCAGCGCCTTCTCCAGGTGTCGCTCCGCATGTCTGTGGTGGTTGGAGAGGAGAGCCAGAGCATCGTCAGAGGAGGAGGCCAGGAGCACCAGCGCCATCATCGTCACCCCCACCCCGACCGCCGCCAGCGCCGCCCTCTTGTCCACCATGATCCCCTGCCAGCCTGAGCAAAGCCAGGAGGGTAGGATAGACCAAACACATTCTGAGGGGTAGGGTAGTCAATTATGAAGGGGTAGTGATGAAACCGAAGTCCAAACATAAGGCGAATTCCAAATTTTCAGGGGGACGACAAGATAAAAATAGCACCTTGAAGCATCTAGAGAGCAAACCTGTAATGTACAGGGTAGGGTGATTAAAGTGGTTGGTGGGGGTGTCTCTTCTGGAGGTGGGGGTAGTGCGAGGGTTGGTCACCAAGGAAGGTCGAAGAGACACGTTAACTGAAAATAACTAGGAGTACCCACCCTATTAATTAGTGGTCAATTAGGGGGTAGAAATGGTAAATTGAGGGGTAGGTTCAATATATTGAGGTACGGGTGCATTACCCCATAGATTAGGGGTGGGGTGGGCACGGGAGTATGCAAGGGGGTGGGGTGGGAAAGTCGGGTGACGATGGAAGAGGAAACATGGGGCATGCTGGTCGCCGCCGGCTTCTTCCGCGCTCGAGTGCTGGGGCTCGACGCCTTCGACAAGATGCTGGGAGGTCTTGCGTGGTGCCTGCGCGCCTCCAGCGTTGACGTCGAGGTAGAACTGCACTACGATGAAGCCATGACCCTCGGTCAGAAGATCATGCTCGGTGAAAACATCGCCGCCGCCCTGCGATCTATGCGCTGCCCCTTTCCCTTGATGTCACATCAGATTCGAGGGCTTGACTTCTCTGCATTGTTCCCCGTGATCCAGTGGCTGGTCAAGCAGGTGATCTCGACACGCGAAGAGCTTGCGGAGAAGACCAGGAGGCACGCGAGCCTCAAGTTCTCGCAGGCTCACGCGGACTCGCAGGCAGGAGAGGAGAGGGAGAGAGACACGTCAGCTCGTGCGCTGCGATCTATCAAGGACAAGTATAAGCCTAAGAGAAAGTATAGACAACGATCAGCCAGGAAGGAGCAGCCTGAGCACATGCACGTTCAGTGTGTGCTGCTGGAATACGGGCAAGCGCTCCCTCAGGGGAGAGGAAAGCATGCGGAGGACGAGACAGAGGGAGACGAAGAAGCAGAGCTCAGAGAAAACCTCGACGAAGTGGAAGGAGACCTCGAGTTTCTCTCTGGCAAGCGGGTCGGCGCGCTGGTCGGGATGCAGTCGGAAGCGATTCAATCCTTGACAGCAGAGTATGAGCAGCACTTCCAGATGTTCGGGGGAGACCCAGAGCGAGCCAAGCAGCAGGGCAAGGAGCAGGCGCACAAGCGGGCTGTCGCTGCTCTCACCAAGCAGATCAGCGTAGCCAAGACCAAGTGCAACGCGAGGAAGTCAGCGTTCGAGACCCTCGCGCAAGAAGTCAAAGAAACGCAGGCGACGCTGCAGCAGCAGAAGGCAGCGACGGAGCGTGTGAGCTCCGAGCTGGAGAAGCTCAAGGCTGTTGAGACTCCGGAGAACAAGAAGGACATCGCGATGCTGGAGGGCCTGGTGAACCAGAACGAGAGCTTGAAGGAGCAGGAGGAGGCGTTCCGTGAGCACTGCAAGGGAAGCAAGCAGGAGCTGCTGTATCGCCTCAAGGAGTTAGACGAGGGTCGCGGGCTCCCTCAAGACGAGCTGGAGAGGCTGGTGAAGGTCGAGGGCCTCTACCAGAGCGAGACGGAGAAGCTGCACAAGATCAGCGAGCTGCTCGCCCGCAAGACTCAGCAGGTGCACGTGCTGCGAAGAAAAATCGACGACGTGGCGAGCAGAGCAGAGCTGGTTCAATATGAGCGAAGGTTTGTGGAGCTGTACGAGCAGATCGCGTCGAACCTGGAGGAGACAAGGAGGTTCTACAACAAGTACAACTCGCTGACTGACTGCTCCAAGTTCCAGCACAAAGAGATCTCAATCCTCAACAGCATCAGCTCCTCGTTCTCGAGCGTCGCCGCCAGTGAGAGCAGAAAGGCTGACTTCTCGCAGCAGCTGCAAGTGATCAAGAATGGCGTACAAGACAATCTCGCGAGGGTGCAGGCCAAACTAGGTTGATGAGATGGGGAGGCGAGGAATGGAGGAAGCGATAGGAAGAAGGGGGAGGGAAGGAGGGAAGGGAGGGAAGGAGGGGTGGGCGAGGAGCTAACTTGAGGTTCCAGATGAAGCAACAAAGAAGAGAGACGAGGAGGCTGCGAAGTTGGCGAAAGCGATGGAGCGACAAAGGATCTACTTCAAGGCCGTGAAGCAGTTCCAGGAGGAATGCCAGAAGAACGAGCAGCT